AGCATCAAGATCAGCTCCGAGCTCTCTCCATCCCGCAAAACCAAAACCTACAAATCTACGACAATAATCACTACCACAAAACCACCACACACAATCATCCACCAAATAATCTCCAAAGAGATCCCACCAAATACCCACCAAATCAAACCCCACCAAAACCAATTAACCAACAACCACAAAAATGTCCTCCAACGTCGGTCTCACAACCCCGCGCGGCAGCGGAACATCAGGCTACGTGCAGCGCAACTCCGCCCTCCTCAAACCCCGCAACACAGGCTACGGCGCCCCCTACCCACCGATCAGCGGCGCGAATGGCAGCGGACCAATGGACCGACCATTCAAGCAGCGAATGCCGGACAAGCAGATCCTCGAGCACGACCGCAAGCGCGCGATCGAGGTGAAGGTTATGGAAGAGCGTGAGCGACTGGAAGAGGAAAACGAGCGGATTGAAGAAGAGGCGGATAAGAAGAAGAAGGGGAAGAGTGGAGCTAAGAAGGAAGAAGATGGCGAGGCGGATGAGGGGGAGAAGGTTCTGAGTGAAGAGGAGATTGATGAACGGTGTGATACTCTTCGGCAGCGTTTGTTGGTGGAGCTTGAGGAGGATTTGAAGCGCGGGGAGTCGGGATTCAAGAAGCCTTTCCCTGGATCTGAGGCTGGGGCTGGGAGGGATAGGCGCAATCTTAAGTCTTATCAGGTTCATGAGCTTGCTGAGGCGAAGATTGAGGAGACGGAGAGGTTGCGGAGGGCTTTTGGGTTGAGAGAGGACCGGGAGACGGGGGAGATTTCTAGTTCCCGGGATTATCGGGAGAAGAGGAGGGATTAGATTCGGTCTTGACTTCTTTTTCTTTTCTATGCTTGCTTCTGCGGCTTCTTTCTTCTCAAATAATGGTGTTGATCGGTGTTAGGGTTTTGTGGGATTATCATGGAAATAGGGTTGCATGAACAAGTTTCTTTTCTTTTCATTGTTGTCCATGTTATGCTGTACAATCTTCTTCGAATGCAAAAGAAATGAACAATTGGATATCATAACCTCATCTATAATACACCAAAACCAGTGCCTATGCAACAAACTTTTCAATAACCCAACCCTCCTTGGGATCCTTCTTCTGTACAACCTTCTTAGCAGGCATCGGCCACCCAACACCACCCTCATCACCAACCAGAGAAGGAATAACCCAGCAAGATCTGCGCGGCGGCACACCCTCCATAGCATCAGCCTTACCAATCGGCTTTCCATACTCAATAAGCGGCGTATCATGCGCAATTGCCGAGAGTTGCAACCCACTTGGCGCAACAAGCGGGAACATTCTAATCTTAGGCACCTGATCCGAGACCAGCGAAGCAGAAGACTGCTGGAGATGCGAGTAGGTGATAAACTTCGGCATTTCCTTGGGTGAGAGCTTAGCAAGTAGCGAAGACGGATGCACGTAAACAGCTCGTTCCTGCAGATCCTCTCCCTTTCCATCCCGGGAACGGAAGAGCGTCAGGTAAGGGACGTCAATAGCGCGACGGGGAGCACGCGGGTTCTCCGGCGGGACGGGGGCTTGGTCAGCGCGGATAGCGACGTGATCAATGAAACCTGCAGTGACGATCTGCTTGAGAGCCTTGATTTGCTTTGATGACGGCTCCGGAAGACGGGCTTCGTAGGCGGGGACTAGGCCTGGGTTGTTTGAGCGCACGATGTCGGTTAGCTGGCGACGGAGCTGGGTTGCTTCTTTGAAGGCCTTTGCGCGGAGGAACATTTTCTCGCTGAAGGCGTCACCGTCGGAGGCGTAGCCGTACGCGCAGATTGCAGAGAGGGATTTCAGAGCGTCGGAGGTGTCGTCGTGTTTGCTGAAGAGGCGTTGGGCGCGGGCGTATGCCTTGTTGCGTTGGGCGCGCTCGTCGTCTTCCAGACGGTCTGCGTTTGTGTAGACCTTGCGTCTGTCGCTGTCGCTGTCACTGTCGTCTTCGACTTGCTTCTTGGCTGTGGTAGGCAGGGGTTGGTTCGGGTCGAGCTGGTTCTCTGGGACGAAGAGGTCACCGACTGCTAGGGCTGCGACTAGGGCGATCACGTAGGGCATGCAGCCGTGTTGGTGGCCGATGTGGAGCATTTTGCTGAACCGGGGGGAGAGGGGGTATGTTGAGAGACGACGACCGATGGGGGTTACCTGGCCGTCGGCTGTGAGGGCGCCAAGGTTCTTGAGGAGTTTCTCTGCTTTTGCGAGACCTTGGCGGCTCGGGGGTGTGGGGAATGGGAAGTTGATCACGTTGTGAAGACCCATGCTCTTCATCTGGAGGACGACGCCTTCGATGGGTGTGCGGAGAATTTCTGGGTCGGTGTATTCGGCGAACTCGCCTTCGTAGACCGCAGAGGAGTACATTCGGTAACAGTGGCCAGGCCCTGTTCGACCAGCTCGACCAGCTCGCTGGTTTGCGCTTGCCTTGCTGATCCAGCCGACCTGGAAGCTCTGGACCCCAGTGAAGAGATCGAACTGCTTCTCCTTGGCGCGACCGCAGTCGAAGACATACTTGATACCGGGGATGGTAAGAGATGTTTCGGCGACGTTGGTTGCGAGGATGATCAGTCGGGAGTTCTCTGGGGCTGGCTCAAACACCTTCATCTGTTCTTTCGTGGGAAGTTGGGAGTATAGAGGTAAGACGTGAACGCGGGTTGACGAGTCCATGGCCTCTTCGCCTTCAGCAAGTTCGAAGCCTTCGTCTTCCTCTGCGTCATCCAGTCCGGTGATCTCCATGTCACTGTCGTAGTCATCATGTCCTGGGTTCTCCATCTCGGTGCCACCCAGCTCAAGGTCCTCTGCTTCCAAAGGAGCCTCAGTAGCCGAGAGCTGCACCTTTGCCTGTGTCGTGTCTTCCCGCTGAGTAGGTTTGAATGCCTGCTTGAGACGCTTAGAAAGCTGCCGGATCTCGTTCTGGCCAGTCAAGAACACAAGCATTCCACCGGCAGGTAGTTTGCGGTGTCCACGCGAGACCTTGCGGAACGCATCTTCAACGTAGTCACGCTGCGTTCGGCGGGAGAAATGAACTGCAACTGGGTATTGGCGACCCTCGGCTTGAACCAGGGGGGGCGCGCCATTACGGAAAAGACTTGGGTTCTCGGTGAAATCCGAAATACGGAGAGTGGCCGACATGATAACGACCTTCAAAGGCGTGACAGACGGGTCCTCCTCGCTCAGAGACTTGCGTAGGCCCACAATACGACTGACCATTCCAATCAGGATATCAGTGTTGACGCTGCGCTCGTGAGCCTCATCAATAAGAATGATAGAATATTTGCGAAGGGCAAAGTCATCTGCGATCTCTCGCAGAAGAATACCGTCAGTCATGAACTTGATTGCTGTCTTCTTCGATGCCGTAGACTCGAATCGGATTTGATAAGAAACCTTCTCGGCATGTTGACCCAATTCCTGAGCAACGCGGTTCGCCATACTCACGGCCGCGACTCGGCGAGGCTGGGTGACACCAATTAGACCCGGATTAGGGCTACCTGGGGAGCCGAAGCCGGATTCAAAGAGGAACTGGGGAAGCTGGGTTGTCTTTCCACTTCCGGTGGCACCCCAGATGACGACAACTGAGTTGTTGTGAATTGCCTCCATGATTTTCTGTTCTTCGCCAACGACAGGGAGTCCAAGACGGGCGATTTGAATTTCCTCCGTGCGGTCAACTGCAACACTGTAGGCCTTGCGATTGGGATCGCCATGAGTTACTTGAAGCTCTCGAGGGAGAGGTTCTTCTTGTCTGGTATTGTGGGTTGCTGGCAACTTGGATGGGTCAAACACCTGCTCTTCCTCGGTCACGGCTCCTTCGGTGGGTTTAAACCCTGCGGCTTCGTTGATCTGTTGTACCGCCCACGATTTGAAGGCTGACTGGCGAGTCTTGAGCGTTGGCTTATCTTCGTCCATTTCGTCGTCATCGTCGTCATCGTCTGAATCTTCTGAGTCTTCCTCATCCTCGTCCTCATCCTCATCTCCGGAAATGTCCTCGGAGGACGAAGTATCGTCCTCTTCCTCTTCAATATCACTTCCGGACTCCTCGTCCATATCGTTTTCATCTTCTTCATCTTCTTCTTCATCTTCTTCCTCCTCACCCGAATCAAAGCCCTCCCATGCAACCTCGGCCTTGACTGGTGCAGGTGAAGGTGCGGGTTTCTTCCTCGGTGCGCGCTTCCGCTTCTTTAAAACAGGGAATCCATCAGCTCCTAGCTCTAATGGTCGCTTAAGTCCACTTCCAGCAGCTGCCTCTTCTCGTAACTTTTGTTCATTGGGATCTGTTGCGGGATCAGACACTTTCAGGTGGATGTCCGAATCGTCGGTATCATATCCTGAGATGTCTGCGGGAGCATTGTGTTTCGGCGCGGAAACGGCCGGTGCAGATACGTCGTCATCCTGTCTCTTACGCTTGGAAAGATCTCGGGAACTTTGTAAAGACGAAGTGTCGACAGAGGATTGCGCTAGCTTTTTCAACAATTCGATATTTTCTTCCTTCTTGAGTTTGTTTTCCTGTGGGAATGTTAGAGCCGTATCTTCCTATTGCGGCTATCCACATACAATGTATTTGTCCAAGCGCTTCTGCTTCTTTGAGGACATCTGAGGATGCTGCTCTTGAAGCTCCCCCTTCAGCTTCTGTCGCCGTGCCTCTTTCTCATCCTTGGAGACGGGCTGGAGCTGTGCGACATTGGTATCGGCCGACTCGCCGTCTGGGTTTTGGCGGTGCCTTTGTTTTCTTAGACGTGGTGTAAATTTAGGCGGCATCTTGGATTACCGCAGCCACTCTGGCTGAGAAAATAAGGTAATTGACTGAGTATGCAAGCTCTGCGATCCAACTGTTTCTTCATCAAAAAAAATTAGGGCGGTCGGATATTGCCGGCTTGGCCCGAGGCGGTGAAACTAGCCGCCGCGTACAGATGGACATCGATCTCCGATACATCTGTGTAGCTAACCTAACCTATATTCTTCTCTTTGTTTTCAGTATTCCAACAAAGACACACACTTCAAATCACCATGGTTGAATCTTTTGATACAAGCTCTCTGGAGAACTCCCTCAACCTACCATTTCCTGCTACCACTAAGCAAATTGCGGGGTTAGTCAATGGCATACAAACAGATGTGGTGATAATGAGCTTTAGCGATAAAATCATGGTCACAATCTCGCAAGCAGGACGACTGGCACATTGGGTATGTTGCCTTCAATTTGACTTTAGAAAACATTCACTAATGATTTATAGTTGCATGTACCGATGGAGAACCAGAACCCAGGCACTGAGGGCATGCACACCCTCGCTGAGGGCGATGATGCTCTTTTACCCCTCAAAAGCCTAACCACCACTACCTTACTAGGTGGCTATTCTCCAGGACAAGACACAACGGGTCAACTACTTGCTCGTCAGATTGCTACGGCTATTGCAATGAAAACACCTAGTGAAAAGAGATTACTCCTCGTTGGCCTTGGACTTGGCAAATCAACTGCTGATAGAGATTCATTTTTTGCTATTGTTGATCTCGTTCTTCAATGCCTATGAAATCATCATAGCCTGATCTCTGACTGAGAGCAAGGTAGCCATCAGAATGAGGCTCGCGCGAACTCTCGGGCTCGCTCCAGCAGCCGGTTCAGTTTCTCGTCTGTGATCTTTCCATGAATCCGGATTCGTTCGATCTCAACGAATGCGCCGCATACCAGCAGCTCGGCAAGAGCCATCTCGGTGAAGTCCTCAGTTTCCCAGTTGCTTCTCAATTCGATAATCATCGTGCGGACGGCGAGAAATCCTTGATTTTTGTGCTTTAACATGAATCCGATAAAATCGCGAGTGCGTTCTTTGGCTTTCTCGGGGTCATTGTCACCCAGCGCGAATTTGATTGATCGGATCCGCACCGTCGACAGTTCTCGGAAGATGGGGAAATGTGGGGCAAGGTAGCCATTTCTTGGGAAATCCGTCACCACCAGAGTCCGGTTGCTTAGCGAACTCATGTATCCGAACCACGCCTCTGAAATCCAGCCGAACGATACAACTCGCATGGAAGTTGGAAGCTTTGGGGTCATCCCATCCTTCTTGAGAAAGATGGCCTCCTTGCCGTCGTCGAAAACGTACTTCCATATTGTCGCGCGAACCTCCAGTGGCAGCCACTCGAGTGGACATGGGCTGTTTCTGTTCACCATAACGACCGAGGGACATTTTTTCATGTCGGTGAGGAACCTGATTTCGAACGATTCCCACTTTTTGCCAAACTGCAACCAGAGCATATCTTTAAAGGTTTTCTCAGCAAGCTTGCCGATGTAGAAAAGTGGAGTATCGGAACTAGCACTTTGTCAGATCAAATGGATTTTTTGGTGGCATCGCGCCCATGCTGTTATATCAACTTACTATGCGTGTGACACCTTATCGGATGCTCGGACAACATCCACGACTTGGTCGGACTCGTGTGTGCTAGCCGAAGCTGCTGGACACGGGACCTCCGAAGCTGGGACTTCCGAAGTTGTATTTATAGCTTGGTCAGATGCATGAGGGACCTCTTCAGCCATCTGCTCATCCGAGACCTCGGAAGCCGGGGCCTCGGAAGCTGTCGCATTGTTACGCTTGCGCATGGTCAAAACTCTTCCTCGGATACACTTACGCGTGTCCGGAGCACCCGCTTTAATGCAACGAACAGGTTTCTTGATCCTTATTGAGTGGCGGTCATGCGTGATGAAGGAAATAGATGGGATGAAGGGTTCTGAGGGGATAAAGGATCGTGAGGGGACATCATCGTCGTCACCGAGTCGTCGCCGAGCCGACGCCTGGGTGTCGGCTCGGCGCTGCCCCAATATATATCATTCATATGTCTACCTATATCTTGTGTCTTCAGTATTACAGATACTACGACTTCTTTCATCTGAAGAACTCTCAGCGATCAATTTACCGGTTCTTGCGCAATGTATGTCTACTTTGGTGTTGTTCTGTGAATGGGAATTTCTCAAAGCTATATATTAGGAGTGACTACCGTGCAAAGGTCTTTAAATAAAGAAGATGATAGCGTGTTGAATACTAAATATTTTTTCTTCCTATAAAGTAATTGGGTAGGCTGTATATAGTAGACTTCAATCTCACCCATTTCTTCAACTACTATCCAAGCAAAGCCTGGTCATTATCCACACGGGATTTTGAACCATTTCACACACAATATAAGATATCAGAGAAACTAGCTGTCATAAAATATCTTAAGACTAAAACTACGACACAGCAAGCGGAGATTCCCTCTTGATATTGCGGTATGGCCAGTCACGTGGTAAACATTACACAAACAGGGGTTCCATATGGACATGACACCTGTAGGTAGGACGTGAACAGAATCAGATTTGTGGTTCGGGTCAATCATAATCCTCTAAACCTCAGAATACTTGGCTCTCATGGTTACTGCAAGTCTGTTGAGTGCCAGCACGCGCGTAAATTCTCGCAGTGTCACATTTTAACATCTTCCTTGGGTCTCATACTCCACACATCAAACATTCCATTATTATCTCCCATCCACATCTTTTTGAATCCGTTTATCTCCATCTATCTTTCTTTCACGAAAGAAAACCTGCATTTCGGTCTTTGTGGAGTTCTGCATGATGAAGCCACTAGTGGATCCTGAGTTAGCCGCTGCCGTTGAGGCCTCTCGCCGAGATATGTATCGCCAGCAGAACAGACATCCCGCATCCCAGGCATCCAATTTTGTGGATCTGACCAATGACTCGGGCAACGACTCAGACATTGAAGAGGTATTCCCCAAGTCAAAGTCCGTGGTTAGTTCCGAAACTGAAGATGACCACGAGCATGAGCAGCTACAACGTGCTCTTGCTATGTCGATGGAGCCTAATGACAGGACCAAAACACCAGAGCATGCACCGCCAATCAAACATGCATCTGCCCCGCATGGAGACTCTGTAGTGTCGGCGGGTTCACTTTTAGGCATGAACCGGAAGCAGATGGAGGAGGAGCGTCTTGCACGTCTCGCCAAGCGCAAGGCTGATGACAGCTCATCTACTCCGCCTTCTCAGACCAGCCGAAAGCTCCCGAGGACTGAGCCTTTGCCAGTCCAACATCCTGTCGCTCTCCGGAATCCGTTCCAATCTGCTCCCCAAGTGAGCACAGCTCGAGTGAGATCTCGCACCGAGGTCTGCCGCCAGCTTGCATCAAATTCCCCGAATATTAACATCCAACCGACCTCCCGCTCGGTGGCCCAATGGCCTCTTGGAGCCGTCAAGAAAACACACATCACCGGTTTCCCTCGCAGTGGAAATGAAATCACCATTGAAGAAGTCATCCAGCGGGATGACTTGGAATTGGGCGTATTTAGCTCGTTTCTGTGGGACATGCCGTGGCTTTATTCGAAGTTTAACAATTCAACCACACGAATCCTATTTGTGATGCAAGCAAATGATGAAGAAACGGTTAGCTTCACACTATAACCTTGAATGACACGGACTAACTTGACTGCGTTTACAGCGAGAGCAATACCGTCAGGACGTTAGCAACATGCCCAATTTCCGCTTGTGTTTCCCACCCATGGAGCCCCAGGTATTCTGCATGCATTCTAAGCTGCTTTTGATGTTCCACCCTGGATATCTTCGCATCGCAGTCCCCTCCGCCAATCTCACTCCCACTGACTGGGGAGAGGATAGACTTATGGAAAATGTATGTGACTACATCCATCTATTCTTCAATTACTAACAGAGGGCAGACTGTATTCCTTATTGATCTTCCCAAACTCGACGTTCCTGAAGCTGGAAAGACCCCATTCTACGAAGAACTGGTCTACTTCCTCCAGGCATCCGAACTCCACCGCAACATCATCAAGAAGCTAGATGAGTTTGACTTCAGCGAGACGAAGCGGTATGCATTTGTTCATACAATGTATGTATTCTTTCCCATGGCCAATTCCCCTAACAAAAACAATAGCCACCAGCTAACAATATAAGTGGCGGAACCAACACCGAAGGTAAATGGCAACGCACTGGATCCAGCGGCTTGGGTCGCGCTGTCAAGGCCCTCGGCCTAGAGACAAACGCACCCATCAACGTTGACTACATCGTAAGTTTTTGCACCTGCCATGCCCCGATATATAATACAACACTAGGTATACTAATAACAAACTCAGGCGTCATCGCTAGGAAATATCAACACTCCATTCCTCCGCTCCATCTACCTCGCTTGCAAAGGTACGCCGCCATCTCACAAAACCCAAAGACCAACTAATCTGACCAACTACAAAACCAATAGGCGACAACGCTCTACTAGACTACGAGCTACGAACCGCAAATAAGAAAAAAGAGCCCCGCACAGAAGTCGAAGCGTATAACCAAGAATGTCTCGATCACTTCCGCGTTTACTTCCCATCAGACGAGACTGCACAAGACGTACACAGCAATGCCAAACACGCCATTGGCACGATATGCTTCAATCCAGCCTGGTGGTCCGGTGCCAATTTCCCACGTGATACGCTTCGAGATTGTGTGAGTGAGCGCGGAGTCTTGATGCATAACAAGGTGAGTATTTTTGGTAAGGACTGGCTAAATTGATTTTTTTTTTTACTAATACACATTTCTTCTGGTATAAAGCTTGCCTTTGTTCATCCTTCCACCCCAATCGAGATGCCTGATAACAAGGAGTGCCGGGGTTGGGCTTATGTGGGGAGTGCGAATTTGTCGGAGAGTGCATGGTGCGTATATAACCTATCCATACTCCTGTTGCTGGCTGTAATGACAAAACTAATATGAACCAGGGGTCGGATCGTCAAGGATCCTAAGACAAAGCAGCTTAAGATGAACTGTCGCAACTGGGAATGCGGCGTTATTGTGCCCATCATCAATGAGAAGAAGACCGAGAAGAAAGACAAGGGACCAGAGACAAATGGACCCGTCCCTTCGGCTCCTCTTCCAGTCGAGGTCTTTAGGGATACCGTTCCTGTTCCAATGAGAGTGCCCGCTGTCCCGTTGTCGGAGAGTCGGAGGCCTTTCTTCTTTGGGGTCTGATTTGACCTTGAACATTGAGAATTGCCGTTGTTTACACTCAAGATCAAAGTCAGACATGCGTTTACGTCTGCAATGTCTAGTGAGAGTCTAGATTTTCACTATTCTTGTCATGAGTACCTGGGATAGGAGGGGCTGACTGGGTTGCTTTGGTTGGTTTAATGGGAAACGAATGAATGGAAGGGAGATTCAAGCAATACATGTATGAGCTCCATAGCAGTTATGCTGGGATATCCAAATAAAAACAGACCAAAAAAAGCAGTTGATATTTTAAAAAACAATATAACCTGACTAAAAATAAGTAATATAAATCCAATAATGATATCTAAATGTGTGCTCATAAGCATCACTTGATCTAATCTATCGAGTATCACGCTTTATGTAAATGCATGTTGACATGAAAAAAGTCCAAAGAAAAGAAGGAGTAACAATCGCTATACTTTTAAAGCCTTAGACTTCAGTCTTCTTCCCCGTAAACAACCCCTTCACACGATCAATCAACAGTCCAGCCAAACCAAACAGTGACCCGATACCAAAGCTCCAACCTCTCACACGAACGGTGTAAATGAAGAAATAAACCAAAGCCCAGTTAATAATAACAAAAGCGAGGAAAATTCCAAAACAACGCCACTTATCCTCGACATGAACATTCAAGTTCGCCATATACTGCTCACCATCCTTGTAAGGACAGTACTGGCAGTCCGCCGTAGCCTGGGGATTAACCAGGTATCCAGCCTTAGCAATAGAATTGACAAAGTCACCGGCATAAGCAACACAAGTTTTTCCAGGAGGAGGATTGAAATGCGTAGCTTCCAGCGAGGAACATTCAATCTGGACATCTGGCAAAACAGCCGAGAGGACACCGCGCAACCACCAGGTCACGGGATTCACGTAGTACATCCAGTATTTCCAGAAGACGGGGTAATCGGCGTAAGGACGGACGATACCGTTGAACAGATTTACCATGACGAAGAAGAAGGGGAGGACGTTCGAGATGACAGTGAAAGAAGGCGCGAAAGCGCAGACCCACTGGCCCCACGAAGCCTGGAAAAGGAAGAAGAGAATAGTCATAAGGAAGACGTATCCTGCGTTTGAAGATTCCGTTGGGAATCCGACGGGGTAGTACCACAGCAGCCAGTAGATCAGACCCGAGATGATAGCGGCAGGGATCTCGCAGACGACGTTTGCTGTGCAGAACGCGACCCAGCCGTAGATGCGGGATGGGTATTCGCGAGCTTCCCAGAGGGCGCGGTTGATGTAGAATTTCGGGACAATGGAGTTGAGGACGATGGGTGGGATGAGAATGATTAGGAAGACGGAGAACATTCGGTCTTGCATCGAGGCCACGTTGTTTGAGAGCATGTAGAAGGTGAAACCGTTGAAGATGCCGATGATGACTGAGACGAAGAGTTTGCCGTAGTAGTAGGATGGGTCGCGCCAGTAGTTTTTGAAGAGACGAGTTGTTAGCTGGATGGTTTGGGTTGAGGTTGGGGCTGCGAATTCGTAGTTTGCGGAGGCGGATTCCTCGATGGGGAGTTTGCTTCGCTCTGAGCGGATGTTCTCGATTTCAGCGAGCATGTCGCGGTTCTGGTCTGAGTTGCGCCATTCTTCGTTCCAGTCGACGAGTTTTCCATTGCGGTGCGTCGCTTTGGCTGCTGTTTCAAGGATGAATTCAGCGACGTTCTTTGAGGGTGGGCAGACGAAGCCGCGGTCGCCAAAGTATTTGATTACGGAGGCGCCTTCCTTGCCGACGGGGCCAAAGTAGAAGGTGTTACCGCCCGGGTTAAGGGCGAGGATCATGTCGAATTGCTGGATGATCATGGAGGAGGGCTGGTGGATTGTGCAGACTATGGCTTGGCCAGCTTGGGAGAGTTTCTTGAGGAAGCGGACGATGGAGAATGCGGCTTGGCTGTCGAGACCGGAGGTGGGCTCGTCCAGGAACAGAAGTAGACTGGGCTTAGCTGCAAGCTCGACACCAATGGTGACACGTTTCTTCTGCTCGACGTTGAGACAGCCGATGATGGCGTCTTGGATATCCTCGAGTTCGAGAAGATCAATGATGCGATCCACGTATTCGATTTTCTCCTGGCGCGAGACATCGCGGGGCTGGCGGAGGATGGCCGAAAACTCGAAGGCTTCGCGGATGGTGGAGGTGTTGTCATGCAGATCCATTTGCTCACAGAAACCAGTGCCACGCTGGAAATCAGCACCAAGCTTGTGGCCATCGACGAGCATATCACCGGTCACGACACCCATTTTCTGGCGCTGGGCTAGGGTATTGAGTAGAGTTGTCTTTCCAGCACCGGAGGCACCCATCAGGGCGATCATGACGCCGGGCTTGGCGTAGCCGTTGACACTGTTGAGGAGCTTGCGTGTTCCGTTTCCGTAGGGGACGGTGTATTCAACATTCTGCCAGGTGAAGCAGCGCTCACTTGAGGAAAGGCGGTTGAAGGAGGTATCATCATTAGAAGCAGCCTGGCCACGGGCAAGAGCGGCGTTGTCCTTTGCATTGGCGACCTTTTCTTCATCATTGGTGGGCTGAGCAGCGACCTTCTGGGTGCGCTTGGACTTTTTGAAGACCAGAGCACCACCTCCACCGCCAACAAATGAAAGAGTCTCGGCAGCGATGACAGTCACCAGAATGTACAGCACGGTGAAGGCAATGACAACACCAAAGTTGCGCCATAGATGGCTGCGCGTGAATTGAAAGTTGGCAGTCAAGTACTGAGCTCCGGTAACAGAAGATTCGCCCAATGACGACCCAGTCAAAGCACATCCCTGGTATCTGGGGTCCATACCTGGACCCTGTGGGATAAGCTGGGATGGATTGCATTCCATGACACGGTCGGAGAATTCGTTTGTCAAGACAGCCTCGTAACTGTACGCGATGGGGTTGACATAGAACAGCCATCCGAACCAGATCGAGTCCTGGATAAGAGTCTGCTTCGGAATGACATAACCGACATACAAAATGAGCAGGTTCAGCGCAATACCACTGAAACGCACTGCGTCATCAATAGACGGGGACAGCGCAGCGAACATGCGGTAGAGCGAGGTGACGCAGAAGGTAGTCGTGTAAACAAACAGGAAGTAGATGAAGAACTTGGAAGCCGTGACATCGAGACCACTCATGAAATAGACGATAATGGTGAACGGGATGACCATGCTGAGGATAGCAGGGAAGTCGACAATGACACGAGCAATGGAGACAGCAGAGGGACGGTAGAAAGCGTAATCCTTGTGACGGGCGACAATGCCGCGTCCAGTGACAGCAGGCATCAGCTCGGTCAGTTGCATCCAGCCAAGGAACAGAATCGAGAAGAACAGAGCACCACCGCGTGAGAAAGCGCCACTGGTATCCAGGGATTCTCCGTAGAACAAGGAGGAAACGATGAGGCCGTTGGAGATGACGATGAAGTACTTCGTGTAGAGGGAGGTTTTATCACCCCAGAGCAGCCAGAACTCGCGCTGCACGCAGGCCAGGACCTGGCGCACGAACGAGACAGTGTACGGTGACTTCTTGGAGACGGACTTGGACTTGGACTGCGCGACCATGGATTGGAAGCGACGAGTGTCCTCCTGCTGGGTGTCTTGGAGACGTTTCTCGTAGCTGGAGACATCCTCCAAGATACGGCTGTGGGCCTGGCTGTTCTTGAAGGTGTTCTCGAGTGCCTCGGCGGTCTGGGGGGTGGACGCTTCACGGCCAGGCTGGAACTCGCGGGCGTTGGGGTCGCAGAGTGAAGTAAGGAAATCGGCTGTGGTCGATTGCGCGGGGCAGTGGAAACCCAGGTTAATGAAGTACTGTCGTGCTTCATTGGCCGGACCTTGGTAGAGCATGCGGCCCTCGTCAATGACCATCACTTTGTCCATGAGCTCGTAGATGCTCTCTCCGGCTTGGTACAGGGTGACGAAGGTAGTGCGCTTGCTGACATCGGTCATGATGCGGAGGGACTTGGCGTAGTCCAGTGCGGTACTAGCATCCAGGCCGCGAGTCGAGTTATCCCAGCAAACCACTGTGGACTTGGTGGCGAGGGTCTCTGCGATACTCACACGCTTGCGCTCACCTCCAGAGACACCGCGGACATACTCGTTTCCAACGAGGGTATTCCTGGTGTGAGTGATACCGAACATCTTCAACAGGGCATCGATGATAATGGGGATGCTTTCCCGGTCCTGCTTGCGGGTCTTGTTTATCAGGGAGAACTTGAGAGTTTGCCAGACAGTGAGGGAGGGGAAGTGCTGATCGTCTTCGGGGTTATAGTTGACTTCTCCACGGAAGTGCTTATTCTGGTCCTTGGACGAGAGACCACCGTAGCTGACCTCACCATGGACACCAGCAAACGCACCACGGTCGTTCGCAATTGCCTTGAGGAAGGTGGTACAGCCAGCACCGGGACGGCCCAGCACCAGCATCATCTCACCTTCGCGCACAGTACCACTGAAATCATGGATCAGATCGCGGACAGGAGGGTGTTTTCCAAACCGCAGCTGCGGCACGAACTGGCAGACGAGATTGTACAAATCCGGGCCGAAAGTACCGATCACAGCCTGGGGAAGAGTGCGCACGAAGGATGCGCCAGTCTCCACACCTTGTACGGTAAGGTTCTTGAAGACGACACCAACCTTCTTGGCGGGTTCGCCGGCGGTCGTGCGACGCTCCAGATGGCCACCGGTCAGGAACTCACCCAGATTAAAGCCGTCGTCCGCCTCGTCTTCGGTTTCTTCTTCGTCCTCGGCCTTTTCTTCGTCGCGGCGGCTGGCCTGCGACTTTCGGCGACGAATGCTCTTGGTGACAGAGCGAGTGCGGTTCAGACTGAGGCGAGTGAGTTCGCGGCGCATCTCTTCCATGTCCTCCATGGCGCCGCTGCGAGAGACGGCCTTTCCAGCCTCCTGCTCTCCCCAACGGCCATCGCCATCACTTACAGACGAGCTGATGGTTGAGCCGTCGGTTAAAGTTGGGTCGATAGGAGCTTCGGCGGTGTGGTGGTCTTGTTCCATGGTTG